CCCTATGGATTTACCTGTTGCCTGTTGTCTATGTTGCCTTAGTTACAAGGCCCATGAGGGCAGCTCCGAGTGCATGCACGCTCAGTCATGTCCCATTCTTTTGAGACTCCCTGAACTGTAGCCCGCCAGGCTCCTCTGCCCATGGACTTTTCCAGGGAAGAATACTAGAGTGGGTTGCCATTTCCTACTCCAGGGGGTCTTCCCAAACCAGGGATCGAACCTGCGTCTCTTATGTCTCCTGCATTGGAAGGCGGGTTCTTTACCACTAGCGTCACCTGGTAAGCCCATGAGAGCAAGAGTCATGTCTATTTGATTTTGGACTTGAGCCCCATTAGCTGGAGCAGTGCCTGGAACATTGTAAGTGATCAGCACTTATTTGTTGACTGAACAGATGAATGGATAGCATAATCTATAGCGAGTGGTTGACACTCAGTTGATGTAGAACTCACTCAAGCTATCTGGGTAAAGAGCCTTAGTCTTCCTCTTTCCTCTCTGTCCACACTCATTCAGTCAACTCATTCCACAAGTATTTCTTGAGCACCTAAGATGTGCTAAGTATTGTTCTGAGATTCTGGGGATACATCAATGAGCAAAACGGACACAAAGTCCTGCCTCGTGGAGCTTGTGTGAGCAGACAGGCAAAAGAACGAGGAAGTAATATACAAGGAGGCCATCTGGTGCGAAGAGCTGTGAAGAGAGGAACAGCCAGGAAAGTGGGAGGCAGTGAAGTGCAAGGGTGGTCAGGAAAGGCTGCCGAGAGGAGACGATATGTCAGGAAAGATCTGAAGGAGGGGAGGGGATGAACTCATAGCTTTCTGGGGGAAAAGTCTTCCAGGCAGAGAAGACAGTAAGTGCCAAGGCCCTGGGGTTGACGATTGGTAGAGAGGGCTGGGTGGAGGGAGGCCATGGGGACTGCTTGAGTGGGGCCTTATAGACCGTGGTGAGGGCTTTCAGTGCTGCCCTGAGAAAGAGAAGAAGAATGTGATGAGCCTTCTATCATCTATTATCAAGGGCCACTAGAGGGCTGTGTTTGTGGCTGGAAGACTCTGAGGTTGGACCGTACTCATCAGGGAGCCGTATCAGTCTTCCTGCTCTCCATCCTCATGGGAGGCAGTTTGTTGCCACCCTGGACACTGGCTTGGCTCTGCCAGTCCCTTCCCTCCGTGGACCTCGGTGTCCCCTCCTCGAGGCTACTGGTGACCCTGGAAGGCGGGAGGGCAGGCTTCTGCTCTTGACGGCCACATTCAGCAGCCAACTGAGCTCATCCAACACTGAGCGTGTGTTCAGCTTGAGGCATCCGATTACAGAGGAAAGGATGAGGCTCAGCTTGGTCCTCAAGTTGGGGGTTGGGTGGGGTGCAGGTCCCTGCTAGCTTGGTTGGGAAGCAGGCTCTTGGAGGGCAAAGCTGAGTGGCATTGCAACACTGCATCATGTACACAATGCCCAAGGGGTTGGTACAACGGTAACAGTGGCTAACAATTAAGTGGGTCTATTCAGCAACAGTAAAATTAGATATTAGGGGTCAACCTGACCCCTGAAGGGGAGCCATGGTCACCCAGACCTCCACGGTCTGGAATCAAACGGTGATGCCTCAGAGGCCACAGGCCCCGACTCTTCCCAGCCAGGTCTGTTCCAGGTCATAGGGCTCCTGGGCTCAGGGATCAGAGATCCCCACAGGGACAGGCGGGCCCAGGGTGGCAGGCAGGAAGTAGAGTCAACCTCTGGGGTACGGGGCTTAGATGACCCAAGGTGAGGGCAGGTGTCTGCTCTGGGGAGCCCCCAGGGGACCCCAGCACAGTGTCCGGACGGAGCCCTGGCAACCCCAGGAGCCTCGCTGGGCCTCCAGGTCCTGTGAAGGGAGGGGCTGGCTTCCCTCAGGGAATCCCCAGGCCTGCCACAGGCTGCCCTCTGGGAGGACAGGGCTTGGGGGTGCTCGCTGCGCCGGCAGGGACTCCCCGGCCACACCCAGAGGGTTCCACTGACCTGTTCCTGCTTGGAGCTTCCCTGTGAATTTCAGTTTAGGAAAGGGTTCGGCTGCTTAAACAAGGCTGTGAATGACCCCTACAGGGGTTTCTTCCCAGTGAAGGCCGTGACTCCTGGACTGAGGTCCAGCCCTGGGGTTTCCTTCTGGGGTTTGCAAGAGCAAGCTTTCAACAGGGTCGTAACCACCTGGGGAAGGTCATTGATAAACAGGGTCTAAGGGCCGAGTCTTGGAGCTTCAGTGAGTTTTCCTTTAAGGCAGATTTTGTTAGGAAATGGAGCTCTGTGGCTCTTTCTTCCACCCAGACACGCTGTTGACGTAGATGCTTCTAGTCAGCGGGACAGGGAGAGAGAGGTGAGCCCTCTGACAGGGGTGTGCCCCCCCAGGACCCTCCTTTCTGTAGAAGAGGAAGCCCTCTCTGAACAGGGTCTGATAAAGGGCCGTGGAACACAAAGGGCCTTGGGCCAGGATGGCGTCCTGGTGTTGAAGGACAGGTGGCCCGTGGCCCCATGGTCTTCTTCCTGCACACCCAGGACCACCACCTCCTTCCTGCTCCACTGACTTCACCCGTCTCCCCACCTGGATGCCTCCCCAGTGGGCTTTGGAATGACGGGTAGGTTCCCTCTGCTTCCTTCTTCCTGATATCTTCTGAACAAAAAGCTCACAAGCCCTTGTTGTGTTAGGATCTTTACTGCTGACCACAGGGGGTAGAGGATGGAGTCATCGCAATGACAAGAATGAGGAAGGGGTGCTGTCCTTTGTAACAGTTATCCATGGGGCTTTCTCGCCAGTGTTCGGGCAGGATTCCCCTCCCCCAGCCTCACTGCCACACTGTCCTGGAAGGTCACTCCTGTTCCTCATCTGGTCTTCCCATTCTTGGTTGCCAAATGACTCCTGATTGCATTTAGTCTCACTTCCTTAGAGAAACTGCCTCTGCCATCCAGTCACATGGTTTCCAGCCCACCCCCCTCCCCGCCCCCGCCTTAGCAACTTGCACTAATACTTCTGCCCTATTGCAATGGTCACCATACAGGTCTGTCTCTAAGACAAGACAGTGTGCTTCTGTGGGGGAGGGACCCTTTGTACCTCCTCCTCCCTTGTGAATATTTTGTATTCCTGCCTCTTATTCCTTTTTTGGCTCTGTGCAGGACAGGCGTTACTAATCAGTCATGGCACTGTTTTTTTTTTTTTTTTAATAATCCTAAACCTAACACTTTAGCATCCAAACAATCATAACCCCCTCTCATAATAACCATCATAACATAATAAGAAATAACAACCAACTATAGCCATTTCTGTCATAATCATAAGAGGAATCCACTGTGCTATCTGGCCTTACGGATTCCCTAGCAGATGTGTATCCTGGTTCTCTTCTTCTGTCACCTTCTCCTGTCACTCATCAATTCTTGGGCTGTCAGTAGGACAATGGAAAACAGTGAAGGCCCTTGGAAATGTGCCTCTTCTCATCAAGAGGAGAGGAGGAATCGGGGACCCACAACAGGAAAAGCTATAGGATTGAGAAAAGAAATCCAAGGTTGAATGTAACTTTCATCTGGATGGAGCCTAATGCAGACGTCTGGCCCTAAATCCTGCCTGATGACAGATACAAGGCATGGGTTCCTGGTATCCTTCCAGAATGAAGCTGCAGGAGATCAGGGGTTAACAACTCATGGCAAGAAAGCTGAGGTGTCATCTCATAGTGTCCACATCTCTGCTGAAAGGCAAGGCAGGGCTCACTCAGGCCAGGATAACAAAAGCAAGTCCTAAAAGCCATACACTCCTGACCAAGAGTTACCGACCATCAAGAGAATTTTTGGGGAAAAAAAAAAAAAAAAGAACAACAGGAAACCTTCTAGGTAGGTTGTGGGAGTTTTACCAGTCTGGTGATAAAGACCAGGGATCCCAAAGTGATATCTACATAAGAGAGGGATTGTGGGCAAAGTTGGCGGAAGTCAGAGGCTGGTTTGGTGGGTTTGCCAGGCTGGACAATAAAAAGGGTGAGTGCTAAAGAATTGATGCTGAAGACTCATGAGAGTCCTTTGGACAGCAGGGAGATCAAACCAGTCAATCCTAAAGGGAATCAACCTTGAATATTCCTTGGAAGGATTGATGCTGAAGTCGAAGCTCCAATACTTTGGCCACCTGATGAGAAAAGCTGACTCATTGGAAAAGACCCTGATGTTGGGAAAGACTGAAGACAGGAGGATAAGAGGGTGACAGAGGATGAGATGGTTGGATAGCATCACCAGCTCGGTGGACATGAGTTTGAGCAAATGCCAGGAGATGGTGAAGGAAAGGGAAGCCTGGTGTGCTGCAGTCCATGGGATCTCAAAGAGTCAGACACGACTGAGCAACTAAACAGCAAAAAAGTGTCAGGCATGTGAATACCAACGGCATGAAAGCAGAGCCTGTGAATGATTGGAGGTGGCTCAGTTTGAGGTCACATGTTTCTCAGTTCTTGGGTTATGAAATGAGTATGAGACCCGGAAGATGATGGCTAAAGCTAATATAAGCCCGTGGAATCCATGGATATCTCTCATGTCTTCTGCTCTCCAATCACGTCTGCAATGTCATCCTCATTTCTTCAAGGCCAGGGGCCAACAGGAGAGTGCCCTGCCAGGACAAACCATCCCAGAGATGCTTTTCCCCTTGGCACCGTGTCCTATATTTGCTCAGCAGCCCACATCCTGCTCTGCCCTGATCCTTGGAGCAGACTTCCCACAAATTCATTCACATTCTCCCAGATTAAAATCAAGCCTATATTCAGGGAGCACTTGAGAGACTTAGAGGTTCACCTAGAAGGAAGTTGGAAATTGCACTGCTAATATCAGCACTTTTGCAGTTGGGAAATTGCCAGACTGTTATATGACAGTCAGTCTAACCCACATAAATTGTTCCACAGATTAGCCATCGATTGTTAGAAAAGTCCCTGACTTCCTTTATCTTTATGGCACCAGTACAAATACAGTATCCCGGAGGACACGCCTTCTGTTAACTACGAACCTATAAATATCAAGGCATTTTTACTGAGATTGAGAAGAACCCAGCAAAATGGGGATCTCCACAGTCATCCTTCAAATATGTCTTTTATTGGGTCAAATTCTATCTACAGGTATTATATCTAATTATTACATTTGTTTTTCACTGCTGTAAATCCAAATCATGGCAAAGTATATCTGTTTTTTGGTGCTATTCTTTCATCTGAAGAGGAGTTTTATATCAAGAGTGGGGGGATAGTTCTTTGGTGATCATTGTAATTGCAAAGATTTTTTGCTTTGTTTCTGGCTGAGAAATGCAATGGTTGTAGTTAGAAAAATCCAATCACTATGTCAATTGTCTTCAGTGAGTCACTCAACTAAGGAAATGATTGATTGGTTTTAGAAAAATTCCTGAAATTAAGGAAAAATGTGTATTATTAAAACTAAAGCTTTGTTATCATTGATCAAGCCTGTGGTTTGTGTATTGATGAACATGGCCAGCAAAGATTGCCCTGTAAATGCGCGTAATGTGACTTCTGTCTGCAGGTATGTCTGGTTTGATAATTAACATTTACCAAGCAAAATCAGATCACATAGCTGAGCACAGAAAAGATCATTAAGATTCCAAGTCTATGTTTGTCACTGCTTTATTTTTAAATTTTTATTTATTCATTTGGCTGTGTGGGGTCTTATTTGGAGCACATGGGACTTTGGCTGTATCACGCGGGATCTTCTGTCGCAGCACATGAAGCTGCCCTAAGGCATGTGGGATCTTAGTTCCCTGACCAGGGATCAAACCTGCATCCTCTTCATTGCAAGGCAGATTCTTAACCACTGGACCAGCAGGGAAGTCCCACTCTGTGACTGCTTTAGATAAATGATTTGGAGATTAGTTTTAAGCACATTTTGGTGTTCTTAGACTGTCAAGTGACAAAATGGACATGAAAGAGCCCTGGGCAAGTCACTGAGACCTTGAACCGCAATGTCGTTTTACCGAGATGCTAGGTGAACAGGATGTTTAGCCAGTCTGTTTAGCATTTCTCCCTTCCTGCCTGTCTCTCTCTCTCGTTCTCCTATCTTTCTCTGTCTCTGTGTCTAGGTCTGTGACAGGCAACTCACTGACAGGCAACACCTGTCAGTGTTCCCCTCTTGCCAGGAGGACCTCGGCGGGTACTGGCTCTGGACAGACTAGGGCTAGAGACTGTGTCTCTATCAGAACACTGGAAAATGGAAGGCAGTGTTCTTATCTCTGGCTTTTATCAATATGCAGTTCATCCCCAGTCCTGCACTGGCTCTGAAAAGTGACAGGGGGTTCACGTCAGCCCCTCAGGGACAGGGAATGAATTGACCTGTCCTCCTCTACAAAGGGGGCTTTCCTGATAGCTCAGATGGTAAAGAATCTGCCTGCAATGCAGAAGACCCCGGTTCAATCCCTGGGTCAGGAAGATCCTCTGGAGAAGGGATAGGCTACCCTCTCCAGTATTCTTGGGCTTCCTTGGTGCCTCAGCAGGTAAAGAATCTGCCTGCAATGTGGGAGACCCAGGTTCGATCCCTGGGTTGGGAAGATCCCCTGCAGGAGGGAAAGGCTACCCACGCCACTATTCTGGCCTGGAGAATTCCATGGACTGTATAGTCCACGGGGCCACAAATATTCGGACATGACTGAGTGACTTTCACTTCACTGTCTACAAAGGGGCTTATGACACCCTCTACGAGTGGCTTGAGGGGGCTGTGGTTTTGCGTGTTATGTGCACACACATGCACAGACACGCATGGCTGCATTTGCATTTTAGACATGAGAATTAAACCTCTGCAAAGTGGTTGCTCTGTACCAGGTACTCTGCGAGACAGACACCTACCTTTTCTTGTCTAAATCTGCTGACAGCTCCCAAGTTGGGTCTCCACACTGCAGATGAGGCTCAGAGAGGTTCTGTATCTTGTCCAAGGTCAGCAGTTGTTGCAGGGCTGGGCCAGGATTTGAACCTAGAGGAGGTCCACTGAATTTGAGTAGAGGATTTGGATGGTAAGCTCCCACGGTTTCTTGCGGAGAACTCAGCTGACGAGATGAACGGTGGCTTTCAGCTCAGCGCTGGAGCCCTATGGAGGAGCTCCGTGCTGGGGAACCCCAGACAGCAGACACTGCCCAATTCTAGTCTTTGCACCAATTCTTGAGTAAAAGTCAGTGAGTTCAGGTTTGTGCTGGGCTAAAGGGGCCATGAAACTCCTTCTGCTCCTGGCAATGTCTTTGGTTCTGCCATTTACCAACTCTGGGGCCTTTGCAAGCCTCAGTTTACTCACTGATAAAATGGGGTAGTGTTCCAGCTTCATAAGGTCGTACAGACATGGGGTCACCCATGCGGAGTCTGGCATGTGGAGAGTGTCTGGGCACCGTCCACTGTTACTCCTCTGAGCATAATCCTAACATGACTTTCTAAATACAAGGTAGTATGTTGGATTGGATCCTAGAAAAAGGAAAAACTGGTGAAATCCAAATAAAGCCCGGAGTTTTGTTAGTAGGAGTGTACCCTTGTTGGTTTGGTAATCGCGACAAATGTAGCTTGGTCATATGAGATGTTATCATGAGGGAAAATTGGGTAAAAGGATATGGAAACTGTATTTTCTGCAGTTTTTCTGGAAAGTTATTCCGAAATAATCTTTTTTTTTTTTTAACTCAACTTCCCTTGGTCTCACTTCTTCAAGGTCAAAGTAAGAAAGTAATAATTGCATACAAACTAATTCCTGGAAAAGTGTTAATGCTTGTACTTCCCCTTTTCACACTTTATCAGGGATTTGGGCACTAATTAACACCTTAAAAAGGAGGAAATTGTGAGATGTCCTTAGGTGGCTGACATTGGGCTGGGGTAGGCACTTCTGTTATCCTTTAAATAGGTCCCACAGATGTCTAATTATTCCTTCATCAGCTCTCTTCACTGCACCTTGTCTTTACTGCGCAAGCTACCCTCTGGGAGTTGGGTCACTCAGTCCAATCTAGGTGTGGAGTGTTCCAGAATGAAGAGGAAGTCCAAGGCCACGCCCAGAGCCTGAGTCTCAACCAGGCACCTAGGACTCTCCTTTCCAGCCTCGGGTCTCCACAGCTGACTTGACAACCCCCAGCAGGGTTTCAGTTCCAACCTGTCCCCTGCTGTTTTCCACCCCATGATTTTATTTGTTCTGCCCCTTTGCCAGCAGGCTGCCTTACAGTACAGAGCAGATCTGTCCTGGCCGTCTTACACCAGCAGGAGCTGCCTCTTGCCCACGGTGACTGCTCTCCTGCTGTTCCCTCCACCTGGAACAAAGGCTTATTCTTCCCCTCCCCACCTCCTCACCTCTGGCTAAATCTAGCTGCTCTTTTTTAAATACCATGGGCATTGTCCCATCCAGGAACCCTGACGTGTACTCTCAACACACACACACACACACACACACACACACACACACACAAGCAGTGTGTCGTCCTATGCTTGCCACTCTTATTCTGCCATAGCATCTTAACTCTATGGATTTTTCTAGAGATCCTGCTATGCGGGGAGTCCCTGGAGGGCAAGGACCATGTCTGGCTTACTTAGTACAACACCACGCGTCCCTTGGAGCCTAGCAGAGGCTCCTGCTGGCCGTAATGGAAGGGCAGGAGAACGCTTCCTGAGCCATTCTCTCTGTGCCCTATGCCAGGTCCTGAGAAGTATTTCTCGTCCTTATGTACAGTTCAAAGGGAGCCAGACACCATACTGGGGCTCCCCAGGTGGCTCGGTGGCAGAGAATCCGCCTACCGATGCAGGAAACATGGCTTCAATCCTTGGTCCGGAAAGATCCCCTGGAGTAGGAAATGGCTACCCTCTCCAGCATTCTTGCCTGGGAAATCCCATGGACAGAGGAGCCTGGCAGGCTACCGTCCAACAGGCAAAAAGTCGGACATGACTTAGTAACTAAACAAGACCCCATATCAGGAGCGATCTGTATAGTTGCTAAGTCGTGTCTGACTCTTTGCGACCCTATGGACTGTAGCCCGCCAGGCTCCCCTGTCTGTCGGAATCTCCAGGCAAGAATGCTGGAGTGGGTTGCCATTTCCTCCTCCAGGGGATCATCCTGACCTAGGATTGAACCCACATCTCCTGCACTGGTGGGCAGATTCTTTATCAGTGAGCCATCAGTGAGGCTCCTAAATCTGTTTCTCTTTTGCATGTGTATTCATTTGTGTTGTTTAAAAACTGCACATAAGTGATATCATACAGTATCCTACACGTCTCTTCTCCACTCTTGGCTGCCCTAAACCCACTGCAATGCCGTGGCATGGAGCTGGTGGGAACAGAGCATTACCAGGTAGATAATGGGATCATTCACAGGAAAGCCATGAATGCTGCTTCCCAGTGGATAATCGTGACCACTGAACATGGAGTGCAGTTGTATGAGCTGGGCTCTTGAGAAGGGGAGGGCAGGGACAGAGGGTGGACTAGCTATTCTTTGAGTCCCCAAAGCTGGGTTGGAAGGGAAAGAGGATTACAGTGACCAGACTCCCCTTGTCCTGAAATAGGCAACCTGACACTGAATCCCAAATACCTGTCCAATGCTGGGAGGTAATAGTTTGAACACACAGCCTCCCTGTGCCTCAAATTCCTCCCTAGAAATGGCCCATTTGCTGCCTGATGACTGCACTTGAGACCTCCTATGCTGTTACTGCCCCAAACTCCACCAGCCCCAGTGCCGTCAGGGGCAATGCTGACCACAAACTCTCCATTACTAAAGATTATTATTTCAGAATGCTTTGCTTTCTGACAAGTTGAAACAGAATCTCATTTGCACTTGAATTTTGGGAAGTGGTGGAGCTGAGCTATGAGCATATTTACTCTGGGGTCAGTGCCCTCGACTTGCGGCATCAATTTCACTGTCAGTGCTGTTTGACCTTTGATAAGCTGTTTTACATCCCTAAGCCTTGGGTTTCACTTCCATAAAGTAGACTGTGTAATAATCTGACACTGTAATAACCTGATAAAGGATATCCTGAGGATAAAAGGAGATACTGCAGGTAGCACAGTTAGCTCAGTGCTGGGAATGCTGTAACTGCCAAGAAATAAGAGCATCTCCTCCCTTCCCCACATGTTCCCTCCTCTCCCCTCCTTCTCTTTCTCTCCTCTTCCTC